ATAATAATAACAAATGATAGAAATCTGCAGCATCGATATCTATAAACGAGCTTTTATCTGACTCTTTAAAAAACATCCAATTATCCATCGATAAAACAATTAAATTTTATAGTAAATAGATTAAGTCATTAAGCCTATATATTACTCGAGTGATTTTTGGCATAATTACTCATGTGAACTGTTACTATCTGATATTGATAACCACAATATACAATCTCAATTTTTATTGCTACAATTGATGATTTATAATCGATAAAGATTGATTTGATATACTCTATAGATAAAAAGATGAAGAAAATGTTTGAAATTATGAGAACAATTTGCATTAAATATAATAAACGGTATAAACAGTATTCATCATAGTACTTAGCAAATTTATATAAGGCGAGATACCTTGGACACCCCAAGTGCGAATAATGAAGGGCTAAAGAATGATCTGTTTGGGGGATTTCCAGGAGTTTCGTTGGAATCGCAAACGTGATCTCGTATGTCTCATCTGAGTAATAATCGTTAACGTAACATTTTGACATCGCACTCCGCAGCTGCGAAGTTACGGGATACAGCCAGCAAGTTTATAACAATAGCATCATGCTATTATGCAGAGAGGTGTCATCCATCAGTCTCGCGATATTTGCACGTCGATATTTGCACGTCGTATGACAGATCGGACAAAAGTCGTTCTTATGCTGAATCGGTGAAGTATTAACTGGGATTTTATTATTTATCGTATGTGGATGAGTCAAATTACTGAGGCGGTTCGTATGTCCCGTTCAAGCACGCAATGCCCGGTGCATAAACTTATTACTCACACGCGCACGTGTCCACGGAATACGTTAGCCGAACATTTCTATTAATATTACATATCACACTACGTACTCGCGAATTAAATCCTCGCTCGATATTAAGTGAGGCCTAAGTTAATTATTGCGATCACTGACTTTATTTACACGACCGCGACGTGTCGAAGATATAAAAGAAAAAGAATCATATTGTCTCGATCAATTGATCGATTTACTTTTTATTTAATTCAATTACTAAGTTTATCATTATTTGTAAAAGTCAAGTCTCTCCGTTAGAAACAAATATGTACTACCGCGGCCATTAAAATTGCAACGATAGAAAAAAGCCGTCGTATTGAATCGAGAATTGAATACAGGATTTATTAGATCATAAAAAAAAGTAAAATACAAAAATAAGCTACACTTTTAATAAAAATACCAGTTAAGTTGTAACTTCTAGACCTCATATACTCTATATCATAAATAATCTGTCATAATATCACACCCTTTGATATTTCTCCGGTAAATACCTAACGGTAGCATTGCATCAATATTGTAATGTTCATTCAACAATATTAATATACTTATTATAATATATTGTACGTAACATAAAGTTACATTATTGAATATGAAATAATAACATTGAGATACAATGTTACTGTTAGGTGTTTACTCGGTTACGTCATTCTTGAAGTTGCAATTTTAATAGCCAGCAGGGTATGTCGCGATCTATTAAAACAACCAAATATTTCAATTAAATTAGACATCGTGACAAGCGGTGCACTTGTCCCCGGGACTTCTTTAAAACATTATATGTCGTGACACGCTGCAGTTATAGGTATTGTCGACAACAATCGCGTGACGTGCGCGATTGATGTATGCAAGACAAGAATTCACGAGATGCATTATGGATCGCTTCTCGGAAAGATTTCCGTTCGTTATCGTTGGAGATTCATTCATCCGTGCGGGCGTTACAACGGTAACAAGTGCGACGAGGAGAGGAGAGGAGAGAACAGTGCGCTCCACGTCAGGTACGTTAACGATCAAAAGACACGGCCGAGTCTCGCTCGCATGTACGATAAATAAACGCGAATCACCAAAGACTCGCTCTCCCGTCCGAATCGATTTGCCTCAAACGTGTGTCGTTAGCGTTTCAAGTTTAAACGTTCATCTATCGCTTATAAACGACGCGCTCGATACATTTTCATAATCTGACTCACACCTTCAGCAGGAGATCGTGCGTGACGCCCTGAGAAAACACTACGATTCACGCGAGCGCGTGTCGGGTTACTCGAGTCAGTTTTTTAGATGCCGGTACGATTTCTGTGCCTGACAAATTTTACATTGGCCGACGCCTGTCAGAAAAAGATATTTAAGAAAAATGATCAATCCCGTATGAAGACTGAAACTAATTTCTCGAGTCTTCGAGTTTAGATTTAGATTCATACGTGAAAATACCAAAATGTTAAGATAAACGAGGACAGAATGAAAGAAACGTTTATTAAATTTTTCTTTAAAAAGTTTGATAAAGTTACATAAAGAGATTGAAAAATTAAACTATGATTTAAATTCACAAATGAGATACTATAAAATTCAAAATGATATTTTGGAAGATTTTATTTGAATGCATGATGAATAAAAAACAAGAGAGATAAAAATTAGTTTATTACGCAGTTATTACGCAAAAATAGGCTTTTTCTTGGGACCTGAGTAAATAAAATATTTTTCGATGGACTTTTTTACACTGAAAATGAATTCGGTGGCGAAATTGGTCTATCATATGAGATTTTCGAGAAAATAAAAATTAAAATGTGCCAAACTTGGCGTTTTTAATATATCTATTCAATATTGAGTAGATAATAATCTATATTCAATTTAATGATTTGTAATATGTTAATTACGCATATGAAAAAAAAATCGTGTTGTAATAAATATAAATTCATATTATAGACAAAAGATAGCACTTTAAAGTGGCATTAAATAAAATTGGAAAAAAAAATTATTTTAGCGATAATAAATAATAATTATGGCCAAAAATGCCAATTTAGACACATTTAACCTTATTTTCTCGGAAACCTGATATAATATATAGACCAATTTCACTAATTTCAGATTCGTTTTCAATGATCAAAAATCTATCGGAAGATATTTTGTCTAATCTTGTTCTAAAAAAATATTGATTTGTGTTTATTGATATAATTATTAAAACTATATATAATTATTTTGTAGATGATAATAAAAAAGCAATACGTATATTCAAAAAAAGAATTTGCAAAAGCATTTCTAAGATTAATTTCAATTTTAAATTTTAAAATTAATTTAAATGGGAGAAGAAAATTTGTGTTCTTTAATTTTGTTACTTAATGAACAAAAATAAATAATAACCATTGCGTGTTATTTTTTTTTTATCAATTTGTTTATTACTTTTTGCATCGGTTTAATACTTGTTTTTTTATTTTTTTATACTTTTTTGTATTCATTTATTTATTTTTATTACAGCAGAAAATCACGTTTAAAGAATTTTTGCGTGCAATTTCTCGTTTGTCGCGTTTGGGTGAAAAGTGCGCGTCAATTTCGCGAATGATTTCCTCTCTCCGTTAAAGATGGCCGCTCCAGGCGGCTTGATCAATACTCCCCGTCTCGTATACAGTTTGGGGTCAGGTATCTACATTCTCTGCCAGTAACTCGCCCTCACTTGGAGGAGGGAAAGAGGGTGTATGACTCGTCGTTAAGCAGATCTACCCCGCGATATTGGAAAGCTACGTAACGATTTTATTATTTTCGCAAACACCGCGCAGGCTTCACCAACTTCCGTCGCATGTCTTTGTGACCGAAACAACCATTTACATCGCGTCAATGTTGAAGGCAAGATTTGGTGCCATCACTTCGAGTCGCGAGAAGTAATATTAGGTTAAATGAATTAAAATACTCGACGTATTCATATGAATACAAAATGATTCGAAAGTTTCGCTACTTAAAAAAAGAGAAAACTGTTTGTAAAAAAAAATTGTATCTGTAAAGATTTTTTTGGATTAAAATTTAAGTTTACCACGTTAGCAGTTTTCCAGAATTTGAAAATTTTTGATTATCATTTGTATTTCGATTCTCGAGAATGCGAATAAATAATCGATACTTCATGTTGGGAAATATCGTGTAATTTACATGCGGTATGAGATTTTCCGAGAATTATTAATCGGATCGATAGGAATCGGTAAACTCGGAAGATTTATATATTTATAATTTTTATACACGTTACGTACATAAAAATAACAAGTACAATCACAGAAATTGCATCTACACTTAAACAATTATTTTCGTACAAGAAACTCAAATTTTAATTTATATTAAATCATTACTTCTTCTTTCTCTTTGGTCCTTTGCTCTACTATAATCATTTAGGTTCCAGTTTTTTTCTAATTCGATTTATGGTCACGTCGCGTTATCACGACAAATTATGGTCGGGACAATGAAAATACGGCAAACAATTAATAGGCTTAAGGATAATTATCTGCAATTAAACGATCTGTATTTTCTCGGTTGTCAGCCTATGAAGAAGATAATCGCACGAAAGCAAACGTTTCGTTTCGTACTGTCACTGGGCTTTTAACGTGCTGCCGTTTCATGTACGCCGAAATTTATAATATTTCCGCAGGCACAAATACGAGCGTGTACGCCCGGCAAACGGTAGCTCTGATAACACCAAGCTGCTCTGATAACCGTTAAGAAAACTATAGCGAGTCGAAATCGTGACCGCAGGAGTCGTTTCGACCGAGGAACTCATGGAAATTGTTAGAAACGCGATAGCGCGGTATATAATATATTCAATCGAATACGTATGCATTTTTCGACTTCCAAGCACTCAATCAAACAGATAAAAATTCCAACTTTGATTTGCAAACGAAAGTGAAGCGGTTGCGACAATCGTATTAATGCAGAAATCGCCGTTTTTGGTAACCTTACACAACTATCTCGAACGTGGAGCTTCTGTCATGCTTGTTGATTTTAACAACAGACAAATTTCGTAGCCATTCTTTAAGGAAGATTTAAAGGTTGAGTATTCCTTAATATAATTTTTTAGCATTTGGTATTTGATTTATATTAATTTGGCAATTAAATCTCTCTGATAGATTTTTAAAACATTAATTAAATTAAGAAACGATCGTTGAGGAGACTTTTCTCTCGTTTTTATATACATAATACACAAATTTGATTAATTTATACCTTGCTCTTCTGCAATGAAATTACTGCTGGTTGCAAAGTTTCCTTGTAGCGGCACTGACTCGTCGAAAGATACTTCTAAATTTAATTTTGGCAACCGATCAACAGCTGATAAACTTCACCTCTCCATTAGACGTTTCTCTGTAATATATTCAATTTTTACACACGCGCGCACACTCAATTAAAAAAGACGGTTCCTCATTAATCGTACGTTCATTTAAAAGCTTCGAGTAAGGTCCTTTATCGCAGCCGCAACGTGTTATCAACCTTCCGATCGACCTCGGGTCGCGTAATCTTCGAGCTCACCGCAAAGTGTACGCACCCCACCGACGAGACAGAGACGCGAATTCTCTTCTCGAATTTCATTTATTCCTTCATTCTCGGACGCGCACTCTCCCGTGTGACCGGCTCCGTCGTTGGACGTTTATCGAGAGACGTTTTTCGCATCCGCCGTGAGAGCAGCAACGTGCGCTTTGGCCGATGACCGGCCCTGCAATGAGCATACATATAATTCGCACGAAGGAACCGATGCCCCAGACGTATCACCGTCTATACATAGCGCGGCTATGGCACGCGCGACGCGCGACGCGCGCAGACGCCTGATGTTGCTTGCTGTATGCCTCGATGCTTTTACCTCGGTGGGTGACCAAAAAAAAATATTAATATTAAACATTTCTCCTCTCCTCCTCATTTAGCCGATCGAAAAACGTAAAAAAAAAAAAGAAAGTATTCTCTCTCGATTATTCATCGACGTCGCGTTCCCTTTCGATCATCCATCTCGACATCGTTCTCTCGTTCCGTCTGGAGTCGTATATTTGAATCGACGAATTTCGATTCGACCCAACCAACGTCCGCGCGTTAGCTCTCGGAAGGAAGAACGGGCTCTTTTTCTCCGCGAGTGCCCGTGACCTACATAAATACGGGGAACTCACGAAAATAGCTAGATTGGCTTTCGGAAGTGAACTACGACTCTCTGACTGACCTACCTAATACCCTCGTAAAGCGCGCGGTGTTATACTTCTTCCTACATTTAGTAAGAGACGTACTTTTTGATACTATTTCGATACTATTTATAAAGGCTTTATATTTGTAGAAATTATACTCTAAAACGGCTGCTGAAAAATTATTAATACGCGAAGATATATCGAGAAAAAAAAATATATAAAATAAATAATGGAATTGAACAATATAAGTTAAGGTGGTATAATTTCAAATATAATATAATTCTGAACAAAATGAAATTTGAATCTAATTTTCAAAGTTCAAATTTGATTTTTCCATGCTTGGTATCCTTCAACATCCTCCACACAATAAAATCAGAGTTACTAAACTTAAACCTCGACAATTGGATTATGTTTGTACAGAATTGTACCGTGTTCAAAATCGTATTATTTTGCTCTATCTGTCCTTATTCCTTATTCCTTTCATTGTGTCTGAGTCTTAACACTTTCAAGCATACTCAAGTTTATTTAGCAAAATTATATCAAAACGGCGACAAATTTTGATCACCACACGATCAATTATAGACGTCTTAAATCAGATTCTGAGAGATCCGAAAATGACATCGATATGTTACATCCATAGAACGTTATTTATTTCTAACGTCTAATTGCAGAGTAGTATTAATATAATATGTTCTAAGACTACAATCCACGTTTTTAATACTTCAAGTAATTATTTTGATTTTTATTTCTATAATGTTGCAAGAATATTATTCTACAAGATTGAAGTATATATATATATATATTTTACAAAATATTGTAGATATATTCCTGAAACGTTACTAGAAACGTCATTTAGATTTTAATTACAGAAATCCCAATTAAATGTGAGAAGCGACATCAGCTAACGGTAATTCTAGAATATCAGATCAATATTAGGTGACTTCAAGACATCTTAAAAATAATGTCTTCAACTCGCCTAAGAAACGACATCTTACTACAACCATCGTTCATTATTCACCATGTCGACCAAAAATTACCAACAAAAATATACAGGTTCTGAGAATTTTTTTAGAATTTTTTCAGAATTTTTTAATACCGTATTTTCTCACGTTGGTGAAAAAAATAAGAAAATACAGTGCTAAAAAGTTGATAATAAATTCTGAAAAAAAATTCTCAGAACTTTATGAGAAGAAAATTAATGATTTTTGTCTGTTGCAGTTTTTCTGTAAAGTTGATAGTATTTGAGTAAAAAATTATTCAAGACTAATATTGTTTAGTAATTAATATTTTGTTAACTATTGCGAAAATTGCAAAATGGTAGAGGACTTTTCGACTCAGTTTAATCCGCTCTACCTGTTCAAGACGAGTGGGGCCGTATGTTGGGGACACCCTGTATAAATAGACGTCTCTATATGTTATCTTTTGATGTCGATCTGCTACTTGGGAATAAGCAATGAGATGTAAAAAGCTTCAACATTCTAATAATCAGTTTGAGGGTTTTAGATACTTGTTTTCGCCTAACAAAATTATTTTTAGATCTGTGTCTAGCTCAATTTTTAGATACTTTAACAAAAACATTCTGTCCGTAAAAATAATATTTATTTGTATATGTAATTGTTTTATATATGTATTTCTTCTATCTTGTCGTATCTCATTTTCTAACTCTTCAAAGGTGATTGACATAAGTCATAATATCGGTAGATATTAAGCAGAGTTGAAGGCCGGTCACTGTAAATCAATTCAACGCAAATTCGCGCGCCATTTTTGGTTGAACAATTGAATCATAGTATCGCAAGTGAATCTGATAATTGGCTAGCACTCACCTTGTATATCACAAAGATATAAACAACAGCATAATACCGAACATAATGTCCGATAAAAGCGTTCGCTAAACGAGATACTCCTCGTTGAAAGTCGAGGAGAGACTAATATGGGTCTATCGGTTTAACTTACGCTTTATCTTTTTCTAATTCTTAGAACTAGAAAAAGATAAAAAGTAAGTTAAACTACGAAAGATTAAAGCTAATCTACATTGATGAAAATGAACATAAGCCGGTCTCTTCAACTTTTCCAAATATAATAAATAATGAATATGATTTATTTGCTATAACGTTTGTTCCGAGATATCCCTAGCTGCTCATTATCGCGTAATCATTCCCTCTTCTCGTAATGAACTTGTATAGTACTCCGTTATGATACGATAAGGAAGAATGAGATCCAATCCAAGAAGCGGTAAGAGGAGGTCAGGGGACATAACGCTTCCCGGGAAGAAGTTGATAGAAAGAGGCATTATCTTCCTAACAACTTGTCGTGACTCATTCATACATAGCATGTATATATGTATACATATTGATCATATGTATACAAATTTAATATAAAGTATTAAAAGACATTGAATAAAATAATAGTTAAAATGGCATATAGGAGTCAAGCGCGGTAATTCTTGCGCGATTGAAAAACTTTCTATGTATCATGTAATACGAAATTACATTTAATACAACGATAATGCAAAAAATTGATTACATGTTTTAACTTCTGTTTAGAGTCCTTTTCAGATCTTCCAATAGTTTTGTAAGAAATAATCAATAATGGATCATGATGAATTACTGTCAATATATACTGGTCATCGCATCGCTTACATTACCGTTGGCCGTGTGAAAGGAGATTATATAAAGTGCATAAAAATCTATGTAGATTCGCATATATCGAACATAATCAATGATATTAGTCAAATAATTAATTATAATGTGTCATAATAATCAGTATTTATAATGAATAAAATAAAAAACTGAGAAGATATGAGTATCCAATTTCAAATTTAACTTGATTAACATCGAATCAAAAATTATATTAACAAAAGAATTATGTTAGAACGGGACGTAAGATACATATATTTTGATTCTAAAGATATTGATAATAATTGGATTTAATACAAAGTTTGAAAATATCATCGTAATATATGTATTATAAATATTAAAATACAACACACATATCAATATATACAGGATGTTCCGCAATTTTTGGCGATAGCATTTTTGTGTAAATAGAGCGGAAGTGTAAACTGAGTTGAAAAATTTTCTACCATTTTGCAATTTTCATAATAGTTAACAAAATATTAATTACTATAAAAATCGCTAAATATTGGTTTTTAATAATTTTTTACTCAAATACTATCAACTTTACAAAAAATCAGCAAAAGGCAAAAATTGCTTATTTAATTCTTCTCATACAATTCTGAACTTTTGCAAAGTTTTTTAATACCATATTTTCTCATGTTGATAAAAATAATTGCCAATAAAAAAAATGCAATACTAAAAAATTGATAAAAAATTCTGAAAAAATACTTGGAGCCCGTATTCATATATATAGTCAGACTTAAATATCATCAGATGTTCAGTAGCCAATGAAATAATTTATAAAGTATCTAAAAATAAAGGCTTTGTATTTAAGAAGTCGTAAATATAAGACCAGGGGCTCTATCCTTGAAAAGAATCGTATACGAAAGTCTAGGGAAATGCTACAGTATACGTTACGTATACTATAGTATTTCCCTAGACTTTCGTATACGTTTTGTTTCAAGAATAGGCCCCCTGACTATGAATACGGGCAATAAATCTCGTACGACAAAAACGTACTTCTTCTTCTTCTTGTTATTGGCCCAATACAGGCTGGTACTGGGCCATTGAGGCCTACGTAAATTGAAGCGAATCGTAATTGGGAGTGCTATGCACCGGCCACCTCGAACCGGGCGAGTAAAATAAAGGATGATGCAATCAAAATGGTGAGGCGTCCCTTCAAACACTGGACGACTGGACTTGACTGGACGTTTGCGACTACGACGCTTCCACGCCGCACGGCCGCACGGCGCACACCAAGACGGATAAAGGGACTATCGAAATTGAATACAACGGCACAATCCAAGCCGGCAATGCTTTTCAAAAATATAGTCGAGGACGCAACACCTGAGACGAGCAGACGAGAGGGAACACATCCACCTCGGTCGAGTGGTTCTTCAGAACTTGACAAAAACGTACAAATGAAATAGCGATCTAAAAAGGCATTTTTGCAGTCAAACGGGAAAAAAGAAATAAGTGGCGCCATCCATAAGGGCCTGCGCACAATAGAGGAACAAGAATTAGATATTAAGATTTCAACCTATCAGAAACCGTGTGTTCCGATGTAATCAGTTTCTGATAGGTTAAAATCTTAGGGCCTGCGCACAATAGAGGAACAAGAATTAGATATTAAGATTTCAACCTATCAGAAACCATGTATTCCGATGTAATCAGTTTCTGATAGATTGAAATCTTAATATCTAATTCCTGTTCCTCTATTGTGCTCAGGCCCTAAGGCTTAAAAATCCATTGTAGATCCGGACTTATACTACGCATGCTTCTGCACACATTTTGCCGCGCGGCAAACGTTTTCGCGTCCAGTGTGCAGGAGCCATTACGTTCCACGAACGTCTCAATTAACGGTCATCTTTGTGCTTAGGCTCTAAAAATCTAAAAATCTACGAATTACTTTGGCTGTGTTCAATGGATTCAACTGTTCCGCTAAATGCGTCCTTTAGATGTGTTCAGAGCCGACATCACTCCCTGAGCGTTTAGTGGGTTCTTTCATTTGATTGGTCTATATTTTAAGATCTAGCGGAATATGCCAATCAGATGAAAGAGTTCATTGAATACTCGGTGAGTTGTTCTTGTTATGAATGCACCCAAAGTGTTGTCCCATGGCAGTCGCTAATCTGATTGGGTATTACTTTTCGAAATTCCGACTGTCATGGAGAAGCGCCCGAATCCCGCTACTGATTGTACATCTTTTTATATTATATTTATGGTCGTCATTGTCCGTTGCTATTCGGATGCCAACGTTGCCATTATTGCCAATGGTTTGCGAAGTTCAAATTCTTGTTGGAAGCAGTAACAGCAACACGTGGTTTCGATAACCTTTCTTCTCTGTTCAGAATTGTTTTTTCCGTAAAGCATTAGTCTTTTGTCTGATATATGATTAAAGGATCGCGAAGATGTCGCGCTCCGTGAAAGATTCAGACGATGACTTTGAGCCAAAATCATGTACGTATTGCTCGATTTCTTTTTTGTCAGCATGTGCATAAGACACGAGTGCCGGTTAATCGATTCGGTGCCAAGAGTTTTGTAATTTTTCGTTGTCATCGATTGTGCTGTAACGCAAATGTGTCGTAATTACACCTTTGTTTTTTTTTCTCCTTTTGGTCTCAACGTCTTTTTCGAAATTATTGCTGTTTTTGTTAGAATATTTTCGCCGATCCGAGAACCGCGCCGCCGCATCCGGTTTTTTTTTCTATTAACAGTTTCAATCTGTGACCGTATTTATGTTTATTAATTTAAATGCATTGAGAAGAACCTTTCTAAACTTGATAAAATCATATGTCACACATTCTGAGATGCAATAATCTATTGAAAAAAATTCTTTTCCTTTTTTATATGATTATGTTTGGTTTTAGCAATTTTATATATATAATAATCTATTGAAAAAAATTCTTTTCCTTTTTTATATGATTATGTTTGGTTTTAGCAATTTTATATGTGTGTGTGTGTGTGTGTGTGTGTGTGTGTGTGTGTGTGTAAATTAAACTTGTAAAAACAATAAGATAAAGAACTGTAATGTTTATTTTGATTATCTATATAAATAAATATGTTTATTGTACAATAAAAAATCAAGATCTAATACATTACTCTCCTAATTATGTAAATATGTTAATATAAAAAGTGCTAAAAAATTTAAGAATGCACATTATTATCATTGTTTTATTTCTTTGATCTTAAATGTTCAAACTTTGATTGTGTTCAGAGAGAGAGAGAGAGAGAGAAAGAGCATACTATTAACATATTGCTTGTCATTTTATCTTTATTTTACGTTTACTGTTAAAATGATACAATAGTGCTAATAGCGTGCTTCCTGCAAACGCAGTTAAATGTCTTCAAGTTTGATTAGCTTAGTTTTCTGATATTTCTTGTGTTGTAGCTATTGGCCGTATGCAGACTCGAATGTTTACTGTACAATCGGTAAATTCTCCGTTACGCCGAAGCAGCAGAATAAAACAGAATAAATATTCGCCAAGTTCTGAAAGTGATAGTAGTATCAGCAGCACTCAAACAACTCAGAGTGCTATAATACAAGCAACAACTATGGATTCCACTGTCTCAGATACAATGAAGAAGCTACGTACTAGAAAGCATTCCGTTTCTTCAGAAATTAGTGAGATTGACATTGATGTCCCACCAACATCTGTAAAACGAAGTACAAGACAAAGTTCAGGTGCTACAAGTCTTGTTGGCACACCAACCAAAGTTAACACTCGAGCAACCAGGTACTGCTAATGTGTCAATATTTATATTTAATAGTTCACGATACGTTTGTAACTAATGTTTTGTATAATTATCAGTAAGCGCTTTATGCGTGCTGGTTCCGAGACAAAGTCACCATTGCCAGCAACTAGAACCACACGTCAAACAAGAGCAAGGTCTATTGATCCAGAATCTTCGACTGTAAATAAGAATCAATCTAGTTCACCAACCAAGACCCGTAGGCGAGCATCTATGTTGCCATTGAGTTCTCAGATTCAAGAACAAACTGAACTTAATGATCGTATACCTTATGTACGATTGGATTCTACAATAGTTGAAACTGATGAAATTACAAATTCCGGTAATTTCTTAAAGATATATTAGCAAGTAACTCTAAGTCTACTCTTGATATGTATTATTATAATTAATATAGATGTTTTTTAATAATTTTTATAACAAATTTGTTAAATGCATTCAGGAAATTCAGATTCTTCACCAGATATACAATTACAACGCTTACATCAAATTAAAAGAAAACTTCAAAATATAAATAAGGATCAAATTGAAGAAGATTATAGTCATGGTGAGAGTAAAAGAGTAGTAGAGTAAGAGTAGTAGTAGTAGTAAGATTATCAAAATAATGAACTGAAATAATTTGTCTAAAAAAATTTATCTTACATTTCTACTTTTATATTAATTTTTTTTTCTTTTTTAGAAAATGTCGAGACTTCAACTGATTCGTCAAAATCAGCTGAAACACTTCAATTGTCAGAGAAAGAGGATGCAACACAAACTGAGGATATTACTAGAGAAACAGCGAAGAACACAGAGAATACTCTTGGTAAATAAAATTAAAAACTGCCTTAAATCTCAGCATTTGAATTAACGTTACATATTTGCTTCTTAAGAAATACTTAGCATTAATTATATTTGAAATTGTTTGACAAATGATAGATTCATTATTTTTTATTGTAACTATGTAAATTTATAGTATTTTAAGAGAGTATTACCTAAGATTCAGAAAAACAGGGTAAACAATTTTTCTTTTTTTTCTTAAAATACATTTGCTTTGAGGTTTTTTTGTTTGTTTTTTATTATATTTGTATCATCTTGTAAATTTAGATATCTTATTAACTAGTACCAAAAAAATTAAAAACTTACAAAGTAGGCGGAATTCGATACCGCAGCTGGGATAGTTATGATTATCGTCATCTCTAGTCACACATCTGACGTAAGAAAGCTGAGAATTTTATAATCAAGAAATATGTTTCTGTAACCTTTATTAAAATTCCCTGTTAAAATAAATTTATATTAATAAAAACGGTGACTAATTGAATAAAAATTTCAATTTTTCAACTACATTTTTTAACTTAAATTGTTATAAAAAATAGAGAAAAATTTAAGATATAATTTCCACAAAATGGTAGGTTAAATTTATGCTATTTATTTATAATCTTCAATTCCTGGGCCAATAACAATTCTTTTTTTTACTCCCGTTTCAGCGATTCTTCTAAACTTTGTGTGTGTGTGAATTATTTTTACCATTTTCATTGCATTAAAGGCATGTTTCTCCAAACGCTAAAAAGATTCTATTATACTGTAATATCAAGTCACCTTTTTACTTATAATTGGCTCCAAACCGTTGTAACTTAAGTTAATGTTAGAAATATTAAAAAATTTTTTTCGAGGAAATATTCTACAAATATTGAAAAATAAAATATGAGGAAAAAATCCGTTTATTTTATCAACATGTGAATACCCCTTTAAGGGCCAGTGTTCTATCTTCGGATAAGCTGATAATTTATTTAATAGATAAACAAGAGAGTAAAAGCATAAGAGTAAGAGAGTTAAAGTTTATCGAAAGGTGGAACAACTTGGCTCAAATGACGTAGGATAAATGATAATTTATATATGTTTGTGTTTGTAGATAAAGAGCAAAAAAAGTTTGAAGAAACTTTACCATCCGACAAGAGCACAATCGAAGAATTCTCTACCTACTCTTCTCCAAGTCATCGAAATTCCGCAAAAGAAGACACAAAAATTGTTGAAAATCTTTCAGATGTAGAAAAATCATTACTCGACATATGTGGATCAAATAAAGAAATGGAGGTTATGCCCGAAAACTTATCAGGTACTTCTATTGAGAAGGAAAAAAGTAACAAGGAAAATCAAATGCTGAATATTATTAGTGATGTAGCAGAAAAGCTTATGCAGCCTAAGCCGGCATCTTCTATCAAATCTTTTACTTCACCTTTTATGGATAAATTATTAAGTGAGAAGGAAACGAAATCTATGAAAAAGGAAGTAAACTTAAATAAGAGGCTTCACTCAAGAGAATCGACAGAAGTTGCAATTAAATATAGTGATCTGTCAAAAGAAACTATTGATAACTCTCAAGAAAAAATGGATATTTCTATAGAATCTATAAATTCAAATGCTTCAGATAAAACCATTTTGTTACATGAAAGCACAGAAGTAGCCGATAAAGTTACTAACAAAGATGAAATATCTACTGAAAATACATCTGCTTGTAATGAGGATGCAATGGAAATAATTAGCGAATTAGAGAAAACTGATACAAAAGAATGTACTATTACAGATAACCAAAATTCTAACAAAAGTGAGTCAAATGAAGTAGATAAAACATCGCGTTTATCTATAAATCTAGTTAAGTCAAAACAGACAAGTGATAGTAGAGAAAGTCTCACTTCTATTATAACTATGGATGATAACGAAATAAAATTAGTGTTGGAAGAACGAAGTCCACGTCGTAATGATAACGAAGTTTCGCCAAATGTAGCACACTCTAAGCCTGATCAATCAGTAGATTCACAAATATCGTCACCAATTAATAAAACTTCCACTGACTCAGCTACTGTAATAGATAAACAGTCAGCTTTAACTCAAGATAAGATCATAATAATTGATAGTTCTGATTCTATAGAACAAGAAGAAGAAAATTCATTGAAACAAGAAATAGAGTCGACGACGTCCCAATCTTCTAATATTGTCCTGGAGACAAATAATTCCGTAAATAACTCGAATGATACAATAATTCAAGATAACCAACTTACTGATGTAATAGAAGCATCTAAAAAATCTACAATGGATATATCATTTGAGAAAACAGATTCAAAAGGTGTTTTGTCAGAAAAAGTAAAGCCAAATTTAAAACGGAAAAGTACAGATAATTTAGAGGGAGAAAAGGAAAGTTTACAAATGGAAACATCTCAAAAGGATCAAGAAAATATAAATGTCGTTGATGATGTTTCTGATGTCGATGCCGGCATTAATTTATTCCAAGATATCCCCGCTGACAAATGGAAGGAGAAAGACGATGTTAAAACTGGTTCAGTACAGTCTACCTCCCAATTAGTGGAAGAGGTGGAAAATGAAAATGAAGCTGAACACGATCTTATCTTGGTGGACAAACAAGCATGGTTGGCGGCTGAAACCATAAAAGCGGCAAAAGAAGCAGAATCTTTTGAATACGATTCCGATGACACTGTATTATTAAAGAGTCGGTTAGACTCGTTCGCGTCACAAGCGAATTATGAAAAATTAGCCACCGTAGATGAAGAACTTACGTTAGATATTGATCCTAATGAAAAAAACGAAAAACAAGTAAAAAAACGAAAATCAAGAACTAAAAAGAGGCTTGTATCCGAAATAGATGAAGATATTTCTAGATATGCAGAAGATGAGGATAATTTAATCCCTGTTGATAAATCTTTAAATGAATCCAAAACAGCTTTAAATCGAACTAATGACCGATCCATTTCCAGATTAAATAAATCAGAACAGTCAGAAAAAACAAAAAGACGATCTTCCAAAGCAAGTAATGAATCAGAGAAAGAAATTGATGATGCCAATGAATTAAATAGAAATTCGCTAATAAGTAAGAACGATATATCTTCACGAAAATCGACAGGAGAAAGAACATCATTAAACAAATCTTCGAAAGATATATCTATGCCAAATATTTCTCCAAATAAATCTCAAACAGATAATTCAGAGAAAGAACTTGATGACACAGCTGCAAGTACTAGGAAAAAATTATATAAGAAAAAACATTCCTTGGAACAATCGTGTAATAAAGATACAGATGATAATGCAACCGAATCTGAAAATAAAAATGTAGCAACTGAAGATTGCAGTAAAAAGCATGAAAATACATCCTTAAATTATTCTGCGGATCAGGAATCAGAGTCGCTAGTTGTTAGGAAAATAATACATTTGAACGAAAGTGATGATAGTGACATAGATGTAAACGTAGTAGCTATGGATCTTGGATCTAAAACTTCTATGATAGCAAATATGGGATCGGATAGCGATGAATGTGAAATTCCAGAGTACCTATTTTCAAAAGCAATCAGCGAAAGCAATACTGATGATAGTAACGGCTATTCTGATAGCCTCAACAGAGAATACAATCTGGATGGATTGGAACTTAAGTTTTCTGATGATGATGTAGCTGCTGATGAATGTAGGGATTCAGAAGTAGAATTTTCAGATTCTGATGATAACGGTTCAGATCTTCAAGATTTTATAATTGATGACATTGAAACAGAAAATGACGATGAAGAAGATAATGACACTGGAGCAGAAAATGAGGAAGAAGAAAATGATGAAGAAGATAGTGACATTGAAGCAGAAAATGACGATGAAGAAGATAATGATACTGGAGCAGAAAATGAGAAAGAAGAAAATGCTGAAGAAGATAATGACATTGAAGCAGAAAATGACGACGAAGAAGATAATGAAGATGATGATAACGCTGTACAAAAGGAAAAAGTGGAAGATGAAAAAGAGAAAGCGAATTTTAACACGGAATTAATAAATATCGAAAATGAAAATGTACAGAAAAAGGATACAGCAGACAAAGACACAAATCAAAATAAATTCATCGAAATGGAAGCTGTTTCTTTATACGCCAGTACCTCTCATAAACTATCCAAAACCCATGAAAATAATAACAAATCTATTGAACATATTTCACCTTGTAAAAGTGAGACAGAAACAACACAAGAGGTAAAAAAGAAGAAATCTAATATGAAGAAAAATAAAAAACTTATTTTACAAGATTCATCAAATTCAGACTTGTCGATTAAAAAGAAGAAGAAAAAGAAATCTCTTGTGAAGGAAAATGAAACTGTTCCGTTAAGTACTTGTAATATAATCGCTTCAGCACTTAAAAGTATATTGGATCCACAATATTCAAAAGATGGAGCTGAACAATTGAATGAATTTAAATCACTTACATTACATGAAGACAGTTTGAAGAAGTTCAAAGATGCAAATAAAAAAGAGATATCAAGCGATTTTTCGCTTTTACCTGACTTAATGAAAAAGGTACAAGATTTTACATTTCCTCCGAAATCACCCAAGATATCATCACGTAAAACAATGAATATAGATATCGAAACACCAAGATTAAAATATCTTAGAAAAGAGAAGTTAAACGAAAGTGCGCCAACTAGATTAGAATATAGTTCAGAAACTAATTCATTACAGAAACAATTATCTGCAGAAAAGGATACTACACAAATAAAAATAAAAAAGAAAAATAAAGACAAAGTACATGATTTGATAATACCGTCTAATGACGATGTCATACAAAAATGTAGTCAAAAGAAACAGAAAAAGCGTAAGAGACAAGACTCATCAAATAAAAATATGAGCGATAAAGTTTTGTCTGAAGACGTAACAGAATTAAATGTTCCTAAAAAGAAGAAGATCAAGTTAACTCCATTAACTATTGTAGAGGATAATATCCACAAAGATACATGTGAGACTAATAAGAAAAAGAAGAAAAAAAATAAATTAAAGGAAAATATCACTGATAAAGCTAAAAATGCTATAGAATTAAATGTTTCTAAAAAGAAGAAGCCTGTCAAGCTTACTCAATTATCTACAGTAGAGGATAATACTCTTGAAGACGTATCATTATCTCATAGTAATGAGAGAAAGCTAAAACAATCGGTATTAATGAATTATATTGTCCGTGAAGTTTGGTCTAAAGATATAACAAAATTGAATAGGTTAAAAAAGAAGAAACATGATAAATTTGCCCAATTGCCCGTTGTAGAGGACAATATTCCCGAAGACGTATGTCAGATTAATGAAAGAAAAAAGAAAAAGAAAAACCGAGATATATCAAAGGAAAATGTAATCGATAAATCTTTATCTACAGATGTTATAGAAATAAAAATTCCTAAAAAGAAGAAACGTGCCAAGCTTACTCAATTATCTATCGTAGAGAATGCTCGTGAAGAGGCATGTCAAATCAATAAGATTAAGAAGAACAAGAAACAAATTAATATAGTGGAAGAGAATACAAATGTGAACAAAGACAATATGCTTCGAAATATTCGCGGGAATAAAACAGAGTTACCACAGTACAAGAAGAAAAATAAAGTCGTTAATAGTTTAGAGTTGGATTTACTTACAGATGAGCAAGTAAAAAAGAAAATTAAACGGCAAGAGACAGTGGAAAGTATTGAAACTTTGCAAACAGAGAAGAAAAAAAAGAAAAAGAAGAAGAAGGAGGAGGATGTTTTGTCAATAGAAATTCCAGTTTCAAAATTAAAGTCTGAGAAAATTTTGCCTAGTAAATTACGATTACAAAAAACTGCATTAGGTATGAGTAAATCGAAAAATGTAGCCTATAACACTAAGGAACTAGATGAAACTGATGCAAAGGTGTATACTGAAGAATCGAGGTCCAAGAAGAAACGTAATCAAAATGAAGATGTCGAAAATGCGATCTATATGAATATTCCTAAGAAATCAAAAAAAGAAGTTAAAGAGAGAAATTTTTTACCGCCTTCAAGCGGTCTGAAACGACTTCCGGATGATGTGATCGAGAATCTTGTGGACGTGCCAACGAAAGCGAAAAAAAGACAGAAAACTTCGCGAGGCAAGGAAAAAATTGTATCGTCAACAACGACGGGTAAAGTAAAGGTGACGACCGCTGATCGTGATAACACATTAAATACTTCTGGTTGCACCACGCAATTCCGTGTAGTAAACTTGCAGAAGACCAAAAAACAGCCACTGAAAGGAGCTGCCGCTGCAGCTTCGTTCAGGGAACGTATGCTTACTAGAAACAGCAGAGAACCAATGTCGTCCTATTTGATGTTTTGCGATAAAATGAGTCATCCCAAATAATAGATTTTTTTAATATGTATTAAGTATGTTATTTTTAGATTTTACTGCCCGAATGTGTGTAACGTACTTCTTCTTTAATATTTCCTGAATTTAAAAGTTAATCAAACTTGTACAAGTTATTGTGTTTATAATTTAGAATTTTATTACCGTTTGACATATTTCTCGAAAACAATTCTATACCGGATTCATTAGGGGAGTAATTGTATCTTTTAGTTTTGTATTTATCATTGCACGTTTACTGTGTATTTCTCTATATGTAATAAACTGTTCCATTTATTGAAATTTATAAAGTAAGAAATCTAATTCCAAGATGCGCCATAGAAATAAGTATGTTTTGCAAGAATAATTCTAAATAAGTAGATATTACAAAATATATTTCTATTAACAAAAATTTATACAAGTGTGTGTTATTTATCTAAACTGATACATAGCCAGATAGGTTCTTTTGATACTAATAGTATCGAATATTAACGAAATTAATTTTTTTCACGCACAGTTCTCAAGATGATTTAATAATTCCAGCATTTTTCAAGCTCTTATGACGATGTCCGACGATATCTCTGTTTTAATATTTAAAAAACAAGAACCGTTCGCAGTATTATTTTGCCCACTGAATATCACGCATGCGAGACTATTTATTGCGCTATATTGCCAAACTTTGTGAATCCATTTATTTACAGTGCGAAACGTTTCTTCTAGCTGTTCATCTTTCAGTTGTTCTTCTTTAAGCTTGACGTGACACAATACAAAAGCATGCTCCATCGCTATTTCTGAACTTCGGTCTACAGCATGTTTATTGTTATCTGCTATCACAAGACGTACCTACAATTATCGAAAATCAATATTAAATTAATGAAAAATTTTCGTCTTGTGTTTTTTCAGTTTGTTTTAGTTTCTTGATAGATACAAAGGTTCGTTTAAATCAGAAACGTTTAATATATTGTAGATGCATACTAACTTGATCATCCTTTGCGAAACTTTCATCGTCCATGACATTGAGAGAAGAGTTCGTTAAATACTTAGAATATTCGGATATCACTTCATCATTGCCCACGATAGCAGCAGTGGTGCCTTTATTTTTCGTTATATGACTGAATATTGACGTGGCATATTTCTTTATTTCTGTTTTTTGCAATTCTCGCTTTGTCATCTCGTTATTAGTCTCCATTTTCAAGATTCTCATGTTGCGATCACCAAGCAACACAGCGTCCCCGTAATTCACACTGTTCGCTAATTTTAACTTCACCAATTTCATAGAAGCCTTCGAGTCTTCTGTTGAGCAATGTCCAGCTTTATCGTCTTGAATACTCTCTCCAAGAAACTCGCGCGCCAAGATCTGCAATTTCGTTTTTCTATACCTGTGTTAAATAAGGGAGCATTAAATGAAATGCACCTACATTCACTGATATCGATATTTGTTATTTTACAATACCTATCCCCGGTGAGATTAAATATTACAGAGGTATCAATGATATAGGGATGCATCATTTTTAATGTATGCAAATCAGAATTCAAACTTTGTCCTACGAGAATCGCGTTTGGAGGAAGTAACGCCCTTATTGTCTGCTGAACGTCGTGCAATGTAATCGTGACATCATCTAACATATTCTCAGTAATACCGCTGTACCGAGTCAGGTAGTCCGTTATCACATTCTCAGGTTTCACTAAGCTGTCGTAAATTACCTGTAATTGGACCGATTTGCATGTTTTTATCGTTTAAGGCACAAACATATAATACTGTACTTACATTCATATCCTCATCTACGATACTTATTCTAGTGAGTTCAAGAATGTTGCTTGTTGTTAAGCACATTTCACAGTCTAAGCCAAACATTGGTGATGTTGATGTAGCCTCTTCATAAACATCTTTTGTTAATATATACGAACCATATCTACAATTATATTAATTCGTTAATTTTATATTTGCAAAAATAGAATTAACATCCGTCCCTATTGGAAAAATTTTACCAAAAATTCGCTGAAAGTTTAGTAAAAACTTCGACATAATTTAAATAAATATGAAAACAAAATTATTTTCAACGAAAATTTCAGCACTTTTAAAAAAATTTTCAAAAAAAATAGAACAGTAAAACCTTGCCTTTCTGCTAATGTTCCTTTCAATGGTACAGGATAATTTTCTTCCACCATTTGCCATAACGATAAAAGCAACTTTGTTCTACAGAATTTATCAGTCGGTGGTAAATTTTCGTTCAAGTTTTTTGTAGAAAACTTTACATCTTTTTTTATTAAATGCATTGGAAAAACACTTCTTAGCAGTTTTATGACATTTCCATTTGTTTGCAAAGCAGTTTCTAAGGAACCATATCCTAGAAATGAAAAATTGTTTTTCATTGTCATTAAAATATATATTTTTATCGATATTAGAAATTAATATGTTATAAAATTTTATTGCTACATATTTTATGAATATATGTTCTCACTAATATTCAACTAGAACATTTTATTTCATATAGACGGAGTAGATTTAAATATTTATTTTTTAATGGGAAATGTGCTAGATGTATTTTACTCTTATACAACATACGTTTAATTAGTTTATCACTTTGTGTTCCTGTTAAAGGAACAGCTGCAAGCTCTTCTGTTATAGATGCACCATAGACAGCTGGCGTTATCACCTCTAAACGATGCTTTAAGTTATGTACTATGTGTGGAAACATGCTCTCATAAGCCATAAAATGATATGAAGACAACCCTTCAAGCACGATGACTACAGTATGGCTTATCTTTGAAGAAAATTATTCACTTAGAATTATTAAATATTTTGAATTAAACTATCTCTAAAGTACAGTATTGCTTGAAAGTTTCATGTTACATTGGCCAAGATTACTTTGTTATACTTCTCAAGTTTACACCATCTCGCTGGTAAGTAAGGAGAATGGTGTCCAAGTAGTGAATACAACAGCAGATGTTGTATATCGCTAAGAAATAATGGTATCCTCTTTCCCAAGTTTCCGACATCCAGAGTAGCGTTCTCGCCAACTGCTTTGAGAGTGAGTCTTGGAATTGCTTGAAGCCTCTTTTTGCGTTTTCTAAGTTCTTCCTTCAAGCTTGCATATTGGCTATCACTTAATCTGTATATACATACATACATATGTGAGTGTGAGCACACATATGTGTACACATATGTATATAAATTATGTGTATATAGGATGATATATGTGTGTATATATATATAAGAATCACATTATAAAAAAAGTAATAATCAACAATTTTTTATAAACTAAGATTTTTTGTTATGGAAAAACTATGTACATCAACTTCATCTACAGAGATTTTTGTCTCAATAAATGTTAATTGAATGCAACAAAAGTTAATGAAATTAAGACAAACAGACATGTGACTATAAACAAAACACAGGCAATCTAAAAGTAGTGCATCACTGTCTTTGGCAGCTGGAACAGAGTTCTATCACAATATTCAAACTTAAACAATAACAAGAAAATTAGGATTACATAGAAAAATAAATAAAAATCTATACATTAAGCTGTTGTACTTCTTTAAAAAAATCCTAATTTACAAACAGTTATTGTTCACTACTTCCAGGGTATAACCTCCTAATTATAAATCGATAAAATTACCTAGGTTTTTTAGTGTTATCCTGTAATTCTGGCCCATCAGCATTTTCTTCCTTACAAGCTTCTAAACATATATTTTCAGAACTTTTTTCACAAGTTCGTTTACGAGAATTATCTCCTGCTGTATTATTTTTATCGTTTGAATTGTTAAATCCATCAACGAAAGCTATTGTCTAAAAATTTCACAAAGCTAATCACAAGAGTATCATTTTAAATTATTCTTAAATCCAAGTATAAACCTGTTTTACAACTTGTAGTTTTGCTTCTTTATCTTTGTCATTGAGTCTTGCAATTTCCAAAAATGCTGCCATCTTTGCTTTCTTCTTTTCTAATCGCTGTAATTGTTTTGTTGTACGTTCCTTCATAATTTATCACTTTATGTGGATTATTAATGATTTGCTGTAGCAAATAATATATACATATAAATTTTATTGCCAAATTTGTCTGAAAGTGTAATACCCCTAATAATAGAGTAATTATTCAGAAAACACAGCCCATCTTCAAATTCAATAAAATTATGCTAATTCCACGTGTGTTTTCACATAAAACGAAAGAATCTGGAGTAATTATTCAGTTTCGATACACTAGTTCAAAAATATATATATTTGCAAAATCATTTTAACAAATTAATATTACCTGTTTAAAAGACTCAGCATTATTATGATTTATCAGTATATTAATAACGATAGCACAAAGTAAATATATTAAATAAAAGTACATACGAAAACGATACAAAACGTAAATTTTTAGGTTAGGAAACGCATTAATCGTAAAAAAAACCAATGTGCTCTTTTTAGGTAAAATAGGTAGGTCTGTTCAGGTCTGTTCGCGTTGCTTGAAATCTCCAATCCATCTTCACATTAGATTAATCGAAGTTGCAAGATCGATCGAAAAAATCGATTAATCGAGGCAAAAGAATCGATTCGTACAAAAATCGATCGGAGAGCCCAATCCAGGCCATCACTACCTGTCATTACCTTCAATTGTTTATTTTAGCAGTACGTGAATTTAGAGCTTGAGCGTTTAAGAAATATAGCAATAATGTCTGCGGGTGTCACGCACACGGAAAGAGAATTAGATTTGAGTAATGCTGGTCGTGGTGTGTGGCTTGTTAAAGTGCCTAAGTATATAGCTAATAAATGGGAAAAGGCGCCTGGTAATATAGAAGTTGGCAAATTGAAGATCACCAAGTGAGTTTATGTTTGTTTATAGAAGAGTATTTCTTTTAAAATGAGATTTTGTCTTTAATGTAACTTCTTTTACTTCTAAAATAAAATTTATTTTATATCTGATTATGTTGCTATTAATGTGTACAATGAAAACAGTGATATAAATTCATGGTAAAATCTTAATAATATATAAGGTGCATTCGGTGAGATGCTATTAGCGCTATTTGTGTCAATCTATCCTTGTTTAACATCAGCTAATAAACAATGAAGATAGAATAACAAAAATAGCGCTAATAGTGTTCCCCGAACACATCTATATATTTATATTCCCTCTATTATTTACATTCTTTTTTGTAATATTTTGTAGTTGTTTTGTTGTAATCTTACTTATGGAAACATTTATTTTAATCTGTTAATCTATGATTGATTTAATTTTTGTTTTTATCTGTTTTCTCTAGAAATCCTGGACAAAAAGCTGAAGTATCTCTTAAACTATCAGAGGCTGTCTTAGCTTTGAAAGAATCTGGAGAAGGAGAAATACCGAAACAACATAGGCTAGATGTTACAACAGTTACTAGACAAATGTTAGGAGTGTTTTCTCATGTTGCCCGTAAGTTGTTTAATGTCATTTTAAAGTTGGACATTTTTGAGAATAGCCCTATTAATTTGCAGCTTCCACAAGTTCAGATGCGATTGTGCCAGAAACAGAAAAACTTTTTATGGAAGGAAGGATTGTACAGAAATTAGAATGCAGACCATATGGTATGTCAAGTGTCCAAGTGGTTATCCAAATAAATTTGTATATATACACATCCACTTTTTTAAAAACAAGTTATGTTAAAATAAAATAAATTTATAAAATAAAATTTTTGTAGCTGATAATTGTTATATGAAGTTAAAATTAGAAAGTATTAAGAGAGCGTCTGTCCCACAAAGACAAGTTCAACAGTTAGATAGAGTTGTGCAAAATTTCAAGCCTGTATCCGATCATAAACATAATGTAAGTATTATTTTTATTTATTTTTTTGTCGTTAAACTGACTTTTGACATGTAGTTAATGTTTTATAGATCGAATATGCTGAAAAGAAAAAAGCAGAAGGAAAGAAAATGAGAGATGACAAAGATGCTGTGCTAGATATGCTTTTTGCGGCATTCGAAAAACATCAATATTACAATATAAGGGATCTTGTAAAAATCACAAGACAACCTATTGTAAATATATTTTTATCTTTATATTTTAGAGAATATGTAATTTATTTTAGAAATTACAATATTTTTTAATATTAATATTATGCACAAATTTCAGGTTTATCTAAAGGAAATTCTCAATGAAGTTTGTAATTATAATTTAAAAAATCCTCACAGAAACATGTGGGAATTAAAACCAGAGTATCGACATTATAAGGAAGAGGAAAAGTCTGCAGAGACCACAAAGAAAGGCAATGAATCGGAAGAGGATTGATTTATTTTTTGTATACATATGTACATATATACAAAACACACACAGATATTTTGTAATAATTATAATATTCTTTAAAATATAAACTATATAAAGTTTCCAATAATATAAATTTAATAATTGTAATTCTCGTGATGCTTTTCACATACCTACTTTTGAGAAGATCACGTACACTAGTAATTGAAAAATTCGACATGATTATCAGAATGTTTATTGAAATTTTGTAAAAAAAATTCCAGCAAACACTATTATAAATTAGTAGAAGAGATTTTTACCATGAGACTATATGTTTCATTTTCTACAACTGGAGCCTACCAAGATAGTATATAAAAAAGAGACTTGACTAAATATAATATCAGTGAGCTACATTTTCTTCTGTTGATTATTTTCTATTGTCACTGAATTTTTTTCAAACTGGCGAGACATGAAAATGTACATGAATATGTACGGATGTATATGTATATTTATTGCTGATCGATTGTTAATTCTACATAATCAAGAAAAAATGATCAAAAAAGTAATGTTTTTAGAAAAAAAATTAATTTAAAAATAAAATTTTAGAATTTTTCCCTAAGTGCTGATAAAATTCCATGAAAATTCCTGATTTTCAAGAATAAAAAAGAAATTCGAGAAAACGACCTCTAAAAATTCCAGATTTTTCCAGGTAGTAAACATCGTGATTATACATATCGAAATTTATAATTTTGAATATATAATGACTTTTAAAAGATTAGCCATATTTTACACTACACAAGTATTATCAACGTTTGTTGAATTCTGTGTACTTAAACATTTGAAAATGCTTGGAACATCAGCATAGGATGGCAACCACATAACACTTTTATCTCCACTTCATTATTGGCAGGAATAAACAAAACGGAGCCGCGAGAAAAAATCTTAGAAGACACTTTTGCTTTACCATTTACTATTAAAAGGATGCTAGCTGAGTTTCTCGGTTTTAAATTATAAGATGGTTGTCCAGGCGGTAACTGCGAAATATTTAAGATAAATATACATCCAATGCAATCAAATACAATAAAATCATTTACTTTAATATCAAAACTCACAGTGATTTTGGCAACTGCAAATTCTGAAACTGGTGGACGAAAAACTTGGGTAAACGTATCTTCCCGAGATGGTTGAATCTTTTCGATAGATTTGCATTCAAATGACAGTACTTGGATTAAAGTTTCTATATCTTTTGGTTTTGGTGTGAGTCCAGCCCTTATTACGTTATCTGAACATGCCATACATTCTATGCAATCTGAAAATTACATAAAAGGCTAAATTAATTTATTATATTTGAATGCATATTAGAATGCAAATTCTAAATCCATAATTTACCGCCAGAGAGATATGCATGAGGTACGTCTGGTCCAATGTATATTGCTTCACCTGGTAGCATCGTCACGTAATTGAACAGATATATTGTAAAACAACCTACATCTCCAGGGTAATCATTGTGCAAACGCTCTAACAGGTCGGCTTTTACCCGTTGCCTATAACAATCGTCTGAGAGCAACTACATATGATTATGCTTTTTAACAGAGAATTCTTCCAATGAGGAAGAATACAAAGATAGTATTCAATAAATTATGGTTTATTAAGAAAGTTATTTAAAAGAAGATATTGCAAAATTTATTACACCTTTTTCACATAATAGTATTTAGTTGTACCATGATTTATTGAATTTATATGTCTCGCTCTATATACAGAAATTGTTACCTGTATTACGTAATCTATCTATCAAGCTTCTTAATTGCCGTGCCACTTCATTGGAATCACAAGTCATAAGACTGTGAAAACTCTGTTGCAATGCATCACTGATCATAGAATCATCTGTTTGAGTTAAGCGACGGATATTGGTTTCTCCTATGACAGCAAGTAACTCTGGTATGTCATTTAGAAAATCTTTTATTTCATCGATTGGACGGAATCCGCACAGCGTTTCAAAAGGAGACAAAGCTATAGCTAGTTCCGGTTTGTGATTTGGATCTTTGTAGACATCTGGATATAATTCATGCAGCTCTTTTGCTTTTTGCTGGAAACCCACAAATCAACTAATGTGCCACTTTTACGTAACGGGAAAAACATTACCTTATTCGGATGTATTTGAATGGATAAAGCTTTATTTATAGATAAGACTTTAAAGAGAAAAGGCAAATTGGAGCAAAATGTTTGTACAACATTGCTGCCTAATGCTACAGTATTTTCCTGAATGTATTTCTGCAAGGGAATATCTGTATCCTTGAGATATGATGGTCCATTCTCATGAGTACCCATCCATAATTCTGCATAAGTTTTCTGTTCATCCACCACAAAATCAGCATTGGCTGATTTTATTAAGGATGCAACAATACTGTTCATACCAAGTTTTCCCCAAGCATACGTTTGAACTGCACACTTGAGTTCCATCTTAAAGAAATATCTACAATAGAAAACAAAGACGTAATAAATATCTAGGTAAAATAATATACATATATTTATATGCAATATAAGTATAAGCTAGTTTTCAACATTTCTATAACAAACATTTATAGATATCAAAAAGAGAGCATTCAAAAGATATAATATTCACCCTAAAATAAATCAATAATTCTTAATAAATACAAATCAAAAGGTTAATGTAAAATTAGTAATAAAGAAAGATCAATGAGAGCGACGCCGCTGTCATAGTCAGCGTTTAATATTTTAATGTTTAATTTATATCAAATCAATACATTCTTCATACATATTAAATTATTCGAACGTTTCGACTTATTTTAAGCCATCTTCAGCAATTAATTGAAAAAACGATGGTATAGACTCCCAATGTGCAGTTTAACTTTCCATCCACTAAACACAGAACATATATAAACGTGATTTAGCGGTCATCTGGATCTTAGAACATAGGTATATAAATGGAAGGGGCATAGGGCGCTGAACGTGAAGCCACATCTGTGCGAGAGAGAAAGGTAGTAAGGGATAAATGTTCGCAATGCGCATGCGCAGCACCGTCATCTATGCGAATTGTGTAGTTGGTTAGTGTTTTTACACATTCGTACATATACACAGATGTGTAAAACGTGATGCTGCGCATGCGCATTGGGAACATTTATCCCTTACTACCTTTCTCTCTCGCACAGACGCTTGCATCAGCGCGAGCCATGGGAAGTATAGGCAATGCCCGTTCCATTTATATATGTTCTAAGATCTGGATACACGATACTGCAAAAACTTCCTAATGTATGATGGAACAAAATTGAAAAGCGAAATGGATTTGCTACCCGTGGAAATATCCGTGGCCACATAATTCTATGTGCATGCTTTGTGCGCACAGAAGGCGCTAGTAGAGTAGCGGATTCATTTAAAATACACGTATCCAGTCTCAGGTTTCTCTCTCTGGTTCAATGTAATTCGAAAGGATATTTAATTCTATTAGATAATATAGAATTACTACACTACTAAACATGGAGACAACTTGACATTCTCTAATTATTCCTTTATTAGAAAAGAAATTCTATTGAATATCAATTCGTCCTTAAGCTCCTGCACACTGGATGCGGAAAAGTTTGTCGCGTGGCAAAATAAGACGCGGTAACCAATGAACACATTAGAAGCTGTAAGCTTATTGGTTACTGCATCACATTTTGCCGCGCGGCAAGCGTTTCTGCATCCAGTGTGCAGAAATCATTAAAATCTCGAAATCTTTGGATCCAACCAATCACATTCAATTGCTTAGCGAGCAGGTGTAGTACTAGGTACACCAATTATAATTGCAAATGCGTCTGTAATATTGAAACGTTTCCACATTATTTTGGTTATTTCATAAGCATAAATAATCGAAGAACGGATGAATCTGGCGAGACTACTACTGTAACCTGTATCAATCAATATAGTCAATATCTTTAATAAGTATATGATGACGTAAATGTAATTATCGAAATTTCATTCATAAAATATGGATTCAATTACAAAAGACCAACATGCAAAGATAGAAAATGGTACGTTATTGTTTATTAATTTAAATTATTATCTATCTCTTATTTGAGAAAGCAATATTATAGTAGATTTAAAATTAATAATTACATATTTTCTTTCAGATTTTTTTTCATCAAAACATGAATGGACTTGGGATGAAAAATTATCAACCTCGTCAATTAAATTATCAGATAATAATTTAAATGTTACTTTTCATCCTGTGTATAGCACTGGCACAGCTGTTGTAAAAGGCAACAAATCATTGGAAAAAGGAAGGCATCATTATTGGGAGATTTCAATGATAACACATATCTATGGTACCGATGTAGTAAGTTTATTTGACATCTTGCTGAACCTACGTTGACAATATAGATATAAATTTCAATATATATTACTTTAGTATATACGTAATAATTTATTGCTCAATCTTGTTAGATGGTTGGTGTAGGAACTGCAAATGCAGAGCTTCATAATGCAAGTGAGCGTTTTTGTGCTCTGCTTGGACGAGATCAAGAATCTTGGGGTTTTTCATATAAAGGTTATTTACAGCATGATGGTAAGATATGTAAATATGGGACAACCTTTGGTCAAGATGACTTGGTAGGGATACATCTTGATACTTGGACTGGCACATTACAATTTTTTATAAATCGAAAACCATTAGGTAAATAATAAAAATAAAACATTTAATCAAATATTCTTCTTAGAGGTATAATTTTAATTATTTTGTAGGTGTCGCTTTTACAAAGTTAAATAATGTTACGCTTTATCCATTAATAAGCTCTACAATGGCTCAATGTGTAATGAAATTAACTTATAGTTGCTCAATATCAGTATCTCTGCAAACCACTTGTCTAACAGTCTTGTCACCTTTACAGAAGACATATTTATCTAAAAAATTTCCTGGTTTGCGTTATCTTATTCAAAATATCTTTGCTGATATACTACAAAAACCTATTGGTAATTCAAACAGATACTGTTCTTTGTTTTTTTTTAAAGTACAAGCAATATACATATAAATAATTGTACTTATATCGACAGATTGTGATAATGAAGAAAACGTTGAATTTCCTGCACAATACATTATTCTAGATGATTTTGACTATGCTCTTGTAGGCTTTGGAATAAAACAAAAGAAACATTAAATGATACACGAGCCTGTGATAAAAATCTAGAAATTTAGAGATTATTCTATTAGTACATGTACATATGCCTGTAAACATACAGAATAAAAAAATAATGATATATTTTCTACATGAATATGTAAAATGATGTAAAATAAATAATTTTTTAACTTATTTTCAAACAATTATCTTCAAATCTTTTATTAATATTTTTTAGCGCATCAGATATTAAAAACAAAAATTATATCCAATTCTTTTGGACAGTTCCAAAAAGTAAATATTATTTCTTCATTTATTTAAATACATTATCGAAATTAATATTTATAGTTATTGTCACTTTAACAGCATATAAATTACACAAAAAATTTATTGTTAAAAGGGTATCAATTAATATATGATTTTTGTATAAATTTGGATAAAAAATTTGCATAACTTAATTATTTGTGGAAATAAAATGATAATGATCATATCACCTTTTTGCTTGTACTAAATTTTCATTATCGCTGTTTTTGCGTTTTTGCTTTTCAATTGATTTAGATTTAGTATTGATTTTTGTAGAAAATACAATAGCTTGTGCCCATCCAGCTAATGGACCCCACAATTCTCGTAAATAATTACTTACTTCAGTATGAATTTTTGGTGTAACTGTCTTTTGTTTTTTTAAGTGTGATAAATAATTTGCCTGTGCTATTTGGAAAATATGAGTATCAACAGGTATAGCATCTAAATGGTCTAGTGACATTAAGCATATGCAATCGGCAACTTTAGGACCAACTCCTGGTAGAGTCATTAGTTGTTCTCTGGCAGCATGATAAGAAACATTCTCCCTTTGTAGATTTAGAAGCCAATCCTTCCCACCCAATGCTGATAAACGTTCTGCTGCATTAGCTATATATGCAGCGCGATAACCGAATTTTTCTCTTTTCAATATACTTTCTATATTTTTTTCTTTCAGAGCTTCTATCGTTGGAAACTCATAATATTCTCTATCTTCAGTCGAATATATTTTACGACCAAATAATGAACATAATTTTTCAACCATATTTGATATCCTAAAACAAACAAATGTTTAGCAAAAGCAATATAAATTCATTTTTACTGTACAATTTTTTTAAAAATGTACCTTGATATATTATTATTGGAGCTACAGATAAATGAGAATAAATTCTCTACAACATCTTGTTTTAATATTCGAACAGCATTATTTTCATCTAAACACTTTTGAAAATGTGTATCTGCTTTTGCCCATTGTTTATAATGTTCTTTCAATGATATTGATAATCTAAAATACTCAGACAGAATATTATCATAATTTACAGAATCTTTTAAATGTCCTTGTACTGTGTACGAGAGATGAGTTTTATTTTGAGACAGAGTCCAAATGCATCCATTAAAGATACCTTTATATCCACTGTCGCAAGCTGTCCATCTGAAATATAGTCATTAGGATTTCAGAATTTTGAAATTAAATTTTAAAAAGACTTAAATTTAAAGTCAATCAATAATAATATATATTCCTCTAAATTGTTGAGAATGATTATACATATATGTAATGTATACATATATGTATATGTATAATTTTACAATTGATTGTATAATTACATTAATTTAAAGTAATGTTCAAATATTTTTCAAGCATTACCTGAAACTCTGGCCACCGTGCAACGTGAGAGCAAGATTCAGTTCTGTACATAAACAAGGTATACTACCTCGTTTCATTCTCGTCTCGTATGCGTTATGCATTATAACCTCGCACTCAGTTATTTAGGTATGTAACTAACATCTTATTGCTAATTTCAAATACTGTTTTTCTTTAATATTATGTATATCACACCATGCGTATTATAAACAAAGTTTTATATTGGAACAAATTAAAATCTGAATAATGTTTGTGACAAGTGTGACAACGGAGTAGATCCTAGTCAGTCAGATCGCAGAACATATGGCATTTTGGCGCGCAGAAACAAGCGCGATTGCCCACGTGACTGCATGCTGCATATACACCAGTGACCAGACCGACAGCATATCATTACTGCATTATACTTGTTCTGACAAACATGTTACCATGTAAAAAATTGTCGATTTAAAGTATTTCTAACAGACTTCTATCACTAAAGGTAATGAACTTTTCCGAAAATTGAATTAAAAAGGGAATAAAAATATAATTATTAAATAATAAAATCTGACTTTATTTATTTTGTTTTAACTTAATTAATTTTACTCTTTTAAACAAATATTTAGAAAGTTCGTACCTTTAATTATTAATAAGATATTTAATGTTAAATATTAAGGATTTTTTTAAAGTATAAAGAGATTTTAAATTTGTGATCACAGATCAGAAACTCGGATATTGATTATATTGATCAAAGAATTATGAAAAATTTGTTGGCTTAATTATATTCTACAATTTCTTCGTATAAATTATATATATTACATCGTATCAGAACGGAAGCATTTTACGTATTGCATAAAGATATTATTAGAATGGAAATCGAAATTATTATTCTTGATCAAATCTAGATTTATCTTGTACACAGCTTGTAACTAATATAAATACATACATACCATATATATGTATATAATAATTTTTCATCAAAAATTCTAAGCTATCCTAAAGCTTAACTCCACGATTCTATTAATTTGTTTACAGTTTGCTGATAATGTTTAAAAGTTAACAAATTCTATCTACAAGTGTTTAACATAACTTTATACATAAAGACTGCCGGTACCTATAACGATCGACTTTCTCGAATTAAGTTTTTAAGTGTAGAAATATGAGAAAAAGAAATAAATTAATACAAATATTTATTTAAATTTAAATAAACATTTATGAAATGTATACGAATATGAAGATCGAATTCTTATTCTTATAAAACATGTATGTATGTAATATATTAAGTAAAGATACACATTGTAAAATATTTTATACTTGTTAGAAAAACAGAGGCAGCTTACTAATTGTATTTATTCGATTTTTGGAATATTTGGAAATTGATTATAAGATATAAATTAGTAAAACAGTACATTCGCATACGATCCCTTTGTTTCTGATAATTCATAATTCAGGATGTCTAACGTATAAATAGTTATATCGACAGATTTAATATAATGATTTTTCATATCGAAGACATTACGAATTATGATGTATCTATTGTCAATCTTTGGTGATATAATTTCGTGATTTATCTAATCGACTTCTTTGTATTTTTCTTGACATATTATAAGTATTCGACAAAATATTACATCCCTGAGAATTGCTATTGACATCCCCGGAAGAAGAATACTTCATTATTTCTTTATGACGATCTCTTACGCTGTACACCCTTAATAAGGAACATTATCTCGTACGTAGGCCTGCTTTCGGTATTCGTGATGTTGACATTTACCCCACCAGGACCGTTTCACGCATACCTTCTGTGATTTTAGGATAAAGCACTTTGATTGGAGTACGTCGAAGAAGATTTTGCCTATAAAATCCGCCGATGCAGTCCCAGCCATTTTCAAACATGTGCGAAATCTGTATACAAAAAAATCTTAAATAAAAATAATTGTAAGAAGCGATGAAATTGTTACGTACATCGATATAATAAATTTTATGAAATTTGTTAATTAATTTCAGAGATATCAAACAATTTGTATTGAACATCGTACAATGTATGCACATTAAAAAACGCTTATATGTTAAATCGTTTATAAATGCATTAAATAAGTCGAGTAAATATTTTCTGAAGATTATACTCGTGCAAATATCTTATATATTCAAATTATACTCGAATATCGAGAACTTTACTTTTTTTTTTTTGTTGTATTTATCACCATTCTCTCACAAATATTTCTTTATAGAGAGAGACCGTATTATTAAATAATTTCATGAATTACTAACCGCTCGTCACAAGCGCAATGCATCATACTCGAAATTCTCCAATTGAAAACGCCGTAACGCGTCTCGAAGGCCGGTATGTGAAAAGGACAAGATGTATCGTGTTTTCGGCAACAGGCATCAGCCATACCGAAACCGCCCAAATTGGTATACTTGGTAGCACGGTCACCGCGACCGCACCATTGCGTCCCTGGTATCATGAATAATTCTCTTCGAATCCGATTCCGACTTCGACTTTGCCTCCCATTATTTGCCGTCGCGTTTGTCGATCTTGCGTATTTCCTGTTACAAAGAATTAAAGCTCATACATTTGTATAACGGGCATCGCCTGGCTTCGAGCGGCTCGGCCGACGCGACGCGGCTTACGTAAGCCCGAGAGATTATAAGCCAGTCGGGAGACTATACCTGCTCGCTCATCCTAGGTCATACCTATGTCGATATTGGGCCATAGCTTGGCTTCGTATTCGCATTCTCATGCGATCGCATCGGTGACGAAGCTCCGATGTCGACAGCAGCCAAGAGAGGTCACGGGGTATCCTCGAAATGTCCTTACCGTTCAGTTGGAACACCTCGATCGACACCTCGTCACCGTCATCGTGATAGCGATAGACACCGCGAGAGCTGGGTAAACACTCACTGTCGTCCCACCACGCGAGCTTCTCGTCAATGCAGTCAGTCAATGTTTCACCGGCATATATCAATTGCAGCTTTCGGTTTGACTTACGAAGCCAGACTTGTCGCAGTGTCACATTTGTATTTCTATCGAGAGAACAAACGTTATTGTAATCTAATTAATTTTCGGTTAAATGCTGTGTATCAAAGTAATAAAATGAATAGTAAAATTTATAGAGAGAAATATGTGAGAGCGAAATAAACTTATTACGTTTATTTATTGTCTCGAAATTGATAGAAATTGCAGATATATATATATACTATATAATAATTTTACCGGTAGATTAATTTATATCAATATATGCTACAGATCTGCGTTTTATAATTGATATATGATATATTTAACAACGTAATAATAAAAAGTATTAAATTAAATTTTTTCCAACAAATTATTCAGGCGGTATAAGAGCAAATTCGGAAAGAGGGGACAGTTAGCGAAAAGCAGAGCGTGCACTTTCTTCACGACGGTAAAAGAGCTTTCCAGCGTTTAAGTGCAAAGTGACGCTTCGTG